CAGGAGAACCCCTACAAGTCCAATCTAATAGTGAGACCCTGAACACCCTGTAGACCCTTCCCTAAAATACACACACACACACACACACACACACACACACACACACAAATTCACAAGAGCAGATCTCGGTCTGAAATCAGAAAGCTGAGATTTTACCATCATTCACAGTAATGATCCTTCAGCAACCCTTGTGAACAATGATAAGCGATCCCAAACCCTTACCTAAGACTCCCATGAAGGGTTTAGCAGTCCCTGTAGCTTCTCTTGTCAGTGATGGGCACACAGAAAGCCACAGTTACTCAGGAAGATTTCGTGTGTGCGCGAAACGAATGCCGGGTAACCCATGCAGACTCACAGCCGCCCAACAAAATGTACTTACTCGGTCTTTCTCCTGTTCGCTGCTGCTACTGTGAGGGAAAAGTGGCAAGACTGAGACATGAAAGAAAAGATGGGACAGACATGTGTAAGTATGACAAAAGCAGCAATGCCTTTCATGATCAAAGCATGACACAATGTGTGTGTGTTTTGGACATGTCATCGTGCAATCCATTTTTATGCAATTGACATGCATTAATAATTACACAAAGTTCCATTTCTCCATCTCCTAGCATTAATTCATAGTATATGTATTAGTATGTTTAACTGTGCGTTCATTAGCTCTAGTACCCCTTTAAAAGTTCTTATCAACTCTGTAAAAGTTTAATTACAAGAAGCATCTCTTTTCTGAGAGAGCACGATTCAAGTTCCAGCACCAATGAACGATCCTGGGCCAGTAACCAGAAAAGGAAGTCCTTAAAACCATACTCCAGCAAAAGGAAGATGAGGGTATAATAATTACACAGGCCAAGGGCTGGCCTAATAACTCAACAGATAAAGCACCTGCAAGCAGGTGCAGGGGCCGGGGTTCGAACCCCAGGCCTGCTGTGCTGGCCCCACCCCCAGGGCCCACTGAGACGGCAATTGAGACTGGGTGTGGTGGTGTGCCCCTGTAATCCCAGCTCTTGGGAAGCTGTAAGCAGGAGGCTCACTATGAGTCTGATCTAGTAGTGAGACCCTTCCTTAAAATAAAAAATAAAAAAATATTATACAGGCCAGCACTAAAAGAGATGTCCACTCTGGCATCTTGCTCAAGGGTCCACCATTAAGATCCCTTTCCAATTATTCGACTTTGTCCCTCACTACTCAGCACGAATTCTCTGTTCCACATCTTGTCCTTGAAGATCTCCTCCACAACCCTGTTTTATGTTAGTAGTTTAACCTACCAGTGTTTCTCTCCTCTTAAGCTCCTCAAGTCCTATTCTTTTCCCAGGGACTAGTTCAAATCCCACCTACCTCTTACTTGAAGATAATTCCTACTCATGCCAGATTCTTACCTGAACTCCTACTCTACCTACCTATAACTCACATTTAGCAATTGTTAGCTAATCCCATAACATTGCTGCAGGCGCATGCATCTTACCTTCCCAGTGTAATTATAACAGGAAAACAGGGCACAAGATCATATTTGTCTCTGGCACCCTCAGCCATGCTGAATACCCAGTTAGGTGAGAAGCCACACAGAAGATACCAAGCACCACACTTACTCTTCAGATTACTTCTCACCCTTGTCTTCCTTCTGCTGGAGTATGATTTTAAGGATTTCCTTTTCTGGTTACTGGTCCAGGATCGTTCACTGGCACTGGAACTTGAATCGTGCTCTCTCTCAGAAAAGAGATGCTTCCTGTAATTAAACTTTTACAGAGTTGATAAGAACTTTTAAAGGGGTACTAGAGCTAATGAATGCACAGGTAAGCATATTACTGCATACACTATACATTAAATGCAGGGCTGTTAGACATGAAAGAATACGACCCTAGGAGACTGGACTCCCTTCCATAATAAAAATACAGAGGGATCTGAGGCACCCAAACACATTAAACAGTGAAGCAGCACAGAGACTTCTCAAGTAAAACACACAGCCAAAATACACAGGACAAAAACAATTCCTTCAATCAATTCCCAACCAGCTCGCTGTTGTCAAAGATGACAAAATTGTTTTCCCAGTCCTATTTGCAACTGAACAATAGCTACAGAACAGCCAAAAAGCAAACGCATCTGAATCTTGTGCCAGCGCTATAAGTTCAAAGCACAAACTCAAATGATAAAAGTATAAAAATATCTTTTTACAAAGACATGCTCTGAAGTACTAAAACCAAGCAGGGTCATTTCTGTTTCAAGTTTAATACATTTTTAAATTAAGCCTAGCCTTTTTACATATTTATTATAAGATTAATCTGCTCTGGTGAATGACTCAACTGCATTTTGATATTTATATATTTTAAACCTTTTTAAATTTTGTGTTAATTTTTTTACAAATGATGTGGCAAAAAATGTTTAAGCCCAATATAGAGTTTTTCTTACTTTAACACAAAAGCACACCCTGAGTGCTGTCTGCTGGGTGTTCCCAGGGACCTGATCCCCACACATGGCCCTTTGGGGGCTCTGCTGTTCAGCCAAAACAATTCGCACGCGAGCAGAGGGATTCTGAGGCACCCAAACACATTAAACAGTGAAGTAGCACAGAGATTTCTCAAGTAAAACACACAGCCAAAGGATTTCTCTCACCTGAGATGGAAAGCGCCAAGTCAGCTCCTGCGCTCCCAGGTTAACCCTGAGCCAAGCTTCCCCTGGCTCAGGGGGGCAAGGATTTGTTTTCTTTCCTATTAACTCCTCTTTTAGAATGCTTACTTGCCATTTAGCATTTTATAGTATTCATTTTTAAAGAACAAAAATTGTACATATTTATGGTATACAACATGATATACTGCTTATAGAATAGTTAAATCAATCTAATATACATATCACCTCACTTATTTGTGAATAAAACACCTAAAACCTACCCTCAAGTATCTCTCTATATTAAGTATACTTTGCAGTGCACAATAGATCTTCCACATTCATTCTTCCTGTCTAAATAAATTTTGATACCTTTAATCAACATCATCCCAAATCCCAATCCTAAACATCTGGCAAACGTTGTTTCTTCAAATTCAACTTTTTAAAATTCCCTATAATCCACATGGCTGACACTGACAAAGGATCTACAAACTGCTGTACATGGTTTCAGGGTAAATCCTGAGGGGATCTGACTGACTTTGTCACATACAAAAGTAACATTTTTTATATAGGTCTTGCTTTATCTTGGTCTTAACCAACCAGCAGAAAAGTATAAAAACGAGGTATAAAAAGTAAAGCCATATTAATATGCTGAGCTGTAAAAGGCTCAAGTCAACAACTTCTGACATTGCCAGTCCTATGGATAACCCACTACTATTATGGACTACTGGAGTATATTGTATTATTTTGCTGAATTCACACACCTACAATATTTAAATGGCAATGGAATACTCATCTCTGGCAAAACTAAACAAAAAAAGGGGATAAAATGAACAACCAATCATTTTGTATCTGTATATTCAAAATAGTTAGGATAGATATACAGCTACTTTCTCAATTCAGTGAGAAGAAAGATTTGTACTAATAGTGTTTGGACAGGATATCATGTCTGCATCTTGTACTATGAATAACTACTACAAAGACAACAATATACAATGTATTAACTATTGAAACTGTCCTAATTGGTTTTGAAACTGTCTCATTGCTATTTGTTTCTCAATAAAATTAATTTTAAAAAATAAAATTCCCTAGGAGAGAGACCATGCAGGACTGGCCTGTGGCCGGCTTATGTCACTCAACATAGCGTCCCTGATCTGCACCCATGGAGTTGGAAAAGGCAGCGTTTCCCTCTTCTGTAAGGCTGACCAGTGTTCAGTCTCTAGAATGCCTAAGCACATACTCACATCACCATTCATCCATTTATATTGATTAGAGAAGGTAACTTTTACAAGGAAGTTGGTGATCCAGGCTTACTTGCATCATAAACTTTACTTAAGGAAAACCCCTGAAGTGGCCCCCACAATTGCTCCACTGTACTTCAGCCCAGTGTTTTATTAAAAGCAAGCATTGTTTCATTTCATGCATCCAATCTAAACAGTATGCAGCAAGGCCTTCTCAGTTTCTTTGGCTTTATACAAAAGGCATTCAAAGTTATTTACAAAACTCAAGTACCTAGAGCAATGGTCCTCATAAATGGCTGCATGATAGAATCACCAGAAGACAGACTTAAAAAATTCCAAGGTATGGGATTAAGTCAGAGTCTCAGAAAGGACCCAAATTTCAGTACCTTCTGAAGACCGGTTTGAGCCCCAAGCAGCAGTACAACGGAACCATTGCTAGAAGCTAGAAGGGGTCATCCCATTTGTCATGAGGGCGATCATGATTTCAATGTCAGAAACACTTGTCACAGAATGACTGCTAGAGATTTCTAATACACTGGCTGCGCATGCAGAGCGCTATGCTCTCCTGAGTGAAAGTTATCAGCAGTGACCCGGGACAGTTGCCATTCGGTTTACACACACACAAAACCATGTCCCTGCACCCATGAAACATCCTTTACAACTATTGGACAGATCTGATCTAGTCGGGGTAAGTCTCAGGTGCTTCTCTTCCACTTAATATTTTTCTTCCAAGAAATCAAGCACAGGATTAGGTTTAAAACCTAATTTATCCAAAAAAGAGTTTTAAGAAAAGATGCCGGGGAGATCTACTTTTCTGATTGCTCTCTTTGTGACCTTAAGTACTGGTTACCCTGGCAACACCCCTCCCCACCACTTTGGAACACAATGGGGAGGAGACCCAACCTCTCTCTAGAGTTAGCATGCAGTCCAGAGAGTGAGTGAGAGCTTGCTACAGCGGGAAAGGGCTGCCTGGAGGAGTCCATCTTCAACTCTGCCATTATCTGTTTGCCCACAAATAGGATTCAACATGAAATGTTTCCCCTTGGCTGAGTTTATTATCTGTCCAGTCACTGGGCCAGCCTGGCTATGGCAGATTTTCCCTTTTGGAGTTAATGGTCAATGAAGCCTGCTATACAAATGGATTTAAAAATAGAAAATACATTACATAAGGGTATAGTTTGGTGGGGTTAACATTGTTATCTTTAATTGTTATTCATTTGGTGGATCTGTCCACCAAATTTGTTAGAATTAATGCTGATTTTCCATTTGAAATGGAAGTAATGATAGGTTATGGCCCTAGTAAGAATTGCTGAATTATGGTGGTCTTCTGATATGGCTGAAGCCCTTAAAGCAACAGCTTATCTTCCCAATGACCACTTCCTCCTCCTTCCCCACTCCAGCCCTGGGTACAGCTTCCTCTGACCTTTCCCGTCCACACAAGGGAGCCTCCAATCAGCTCCTGACACGTCACTAAACCCGCCCCTCAAGCTCCGCCCCTGGCAGATGTCCATAAAGTCTCAGGCTCGCTTGTCTCAGGTCAGAAGATCCGCCCTTCTCCCTGCCCTCAGTCCTCTCCGTGTGTTTAGAGTCTATAAAGGCTTTCCCTCCCCCATTTCTGCTTCTCTGCTGCGCCACCATAACTGCCACCATCACTGTTGCCTCTGAAACCTATCAAGTAATTCCTCCTAAAATAAGAAAAATTTAGAGAAATGGTAGAGCTATGGCATATTTTGAAGACGGTATGCAGATAACAGAAATTTGTGAAGCATAACCTTAAAATAACAAAAATTATTACCGACGTCCTCTTTTTCTTTGTGCCCGATGTCTCTCTGTCTTGCTTTGTACCATCCTCAAAAGCAGAATCTTCCCTAAAACAAAACACATCACATGAAGGGGCCTGGCCCGTCCACCCCTCTCCACCTTATCTCAGTTCAGGGCTCTGCTTTCTCCTTTTGCATCCTGTGCCTGACCACGAGCCAGCTCACGGAACACCCCATTCTGCAGGCTGACTTCTTAGCCTGTAGTCTATTTGTGTAGCTTCTCGGGCAGATGAGAACTGCTTCTTTAAAGATAAATAAAGTTTGGTTGAATGCTTTGTCAGACATACAAAGAGAGATGGAGCATGGGATCCACAAAAGCCAGACCACAGGCATCCTCAAGCCTGGTCTTACCCAGGACCACCTGGGAGCTTCCACTGGTAAACAGTGAGGTTGCACACCTTTCGGTATACCTGCTGGCCTCTGTGTGTCTTCTTCAAAACGGTATTGATTCAGGTCATTTCCCGAGTTTTTAATAGAGTCATTCGGTTTCCTGCCATCAACTGGTGAGTTACTTACATATTTTTAATATTAACTTCTTACATATATACACATACATATACATATATGCATATATATGTGGGTTTTTTTTTCTTTTGATTACAGGGTCTCACTAAGTAGATCAAACTCTAGTGATCCTCCTGTCTCAGCCTCCCCAGCACTGAGATTATAGGCATGCTCCACCACGACCAGTTTTGGGGCTGGCCATGGTACACCCAGACTTCTGGAGCTGGCAAAGCATGAAGTGCTGGGAATTGAACTGTAGACCTCACAACTGCCAAGCAGGCACTTAGACCACTGAACTACCTCCCAAGCCTTTTTTTTTTTTTTTTTTTAAGATGAGTTTAGAGAGGATGTAGAGCAACTGGCGCTCCTTGTATGCTGCTAGGGAGAATAAAAAGAGCCACTGTTACGAAAAACAACATTCAGATACCTTTAAAAAAAAAATTACAGAACTACCACTTCTGGGCATGTAGCTAAAGGAACTGCAACCAAGATGTCAACACACGGGTAAGTAGCTCTAACCTGGAAGACCCAAATGTTCCCAAATCCAGAACTTCTTGCACAGCAAAACACCCACTCCTGACCTCATGTGGTGGTCAAAACGCAGGTGCTCAAAACAGAATTGTAAAAAATTACCCATAGGGTCTGTGTGAGGGATATAGGAGCAAAATTAAGCTTTGTGTTTAGACTTCGCCCCATCCCCAAGATCATATCTATCCAGCTGTTCTGAGGTGTGAAAACAATCCAGATTCCAAGACAATCTAAGGTCACTGTGGACAAGAGATACTCAAGCTGCACAAGGGAAGAGCTGGTTCTGGTTTGGAGATGTCACAAACAGAGTTGCTGTGAACATCCATTAGCGTTCCTTTGTGGGGACATAGCACTGACCAATCCCTGACCATAGCACTGACCATACTGACCACAGCTAGATTACAAGATGGGTATGTACTTAATATCGTATGAGCGGGGTATAAGTTTCACCTGCTCCACATTCATATAAGTACATGGTAGTCTTTTTCTTTTTTTGGCAATACCAGGGATCACACTTGGGACCTTGTGCTTGCCAGACAGGTGTTTATGCTGCTGAGCTATCTCCCCGGCCTGTAATTTTGCTGCTCAAAGAGATGTGGAGTGTACCTCATTAGTTTTCATTTGCATTTCCCTAATAACTACTGGTATCATCTGTTACCCATATTTTTCTTGGTCAAGTAGCTATTCAAGTCTTTTGCCTATATTTTCATTGGGTTTTACCTTTACTAGTGAATTCTGAGAGCTCTTGCTACATTTCACACACAAGTTCATTACCAGTATTTTCAGTAAGGTTGTGGATAGTTCTTTCATCTAACAATAGCTTACAAAGAATACAGATATTTTTTACTTTGATGAAATCTAATTCATCAATTTATTCTTTTGTGACTCTATTATAACTAAAAAATCTTTGCCTAATGCAAAGGGGGTTTTTTTCTCATGTTTTTAAGTAGGTTTTACATATACATCTATGACTCATTTTACATTGTCTACGTGATGAAAATAAGGAAACAAGGTCATTTTTCTTCTATCAAGATATTCCATTATTGGGTTAGGGAGATAGCTCAGCAGCATAAGTTCTATCTCCAGTTCAGTCTCCAGTACCGCACACCATGCCTGACCCAGAACCCTGGGCATATGGTGGGACGTGCCTGGAACCCCCGCACCAGGGAGGCTGAGACAGAAGGATCACTGTGAGTTGGAACTGTGTAGTGAGAATGCTGTATCAAAAAAATAAAATGATATTCCATTATTTTAGTACTACTTATTTTTAAAAAGTCTCTTCTCCACTGAATTATCTTTGCATTTTTGTCCAATCCATACGGGGCTTTTTCTGGAATTTAGCATGTTCCTATCTTTCTGTCAACACCACGTTCTTGAGCAATGTAGCTTTATGGTAAATGTTGAAAGCAGGCAGTAGTCCTTTCACTTTCTTTCCAAAGTTTTAGGTATCCTTGGTCCTTTGCCCATTTCTTTTATATTAAAAAAGCCTACTGGGATTTGAACTGGGAATTGTATTAAACCCTTAGATCAATTTTGAAAATAAATGACATCATATTGAGTCTTCCATCATCCCAAGAACAGAATGTGTTTCTGTATTTTTTTTAGATCTTAATTTTTCTCAGCAATGTCTTAAAGTTTTAAGTGTACACACTTTGAGGATGCTTAGAAATACATGTCAAGCACTTAAATGAATATTTTAACACTATTAAACATAAGATTGGTTTTATTTCAATTTTTGATTAGCACATTGAAGACTGGTTTTGTATATTGACCTTGTGTCCTTCAATCTCAAAGTCAGTATTTTGCTACAGAAAACTACATTTCTGGGAGTCTACGTGCAAAGCCCATGGATCAGGAGCTCATGCCAACATTGCTCAAACCAAAAGCCCCTCACAACACTCTCTCTTTTGGTGAAGGCAAGTCCAGATGCAGGAAGTGGGGGGAAATCCAGAGCACAGACTTGTGGTGCTCACATTTGCAATGACCTGTGTAGTTACTGGTTTCATAATAACCAAGGCATGGAAACCAGCCAACTTTCCACCAAGACAGGAGCAAAGACAATGTGGCATAGATACACAGAAGAAAACTAGTTGACCACACTTGATCAATAATATGACCTGGAAGACATTCTGCTGAGCGAAATGAAACAGATCCAGAAAGAAATACTGTATGATCTGACTTATATGTACAAACTTCAAAATTCAGACTCAGAAAGGAAGAGTAGGAGCACAGCCGCCGAGGCTGGGACTGCCAAGTGACTGACGAGAGTGTTGGCCCCTGGGTACCAATTCGGTTACACACAACACGCAAATGCTTATGTTCCATAGCACAAAGGGGTAAGAGCAGTTATGAATATTGGTGTCCATATTTCAAGACTAGGAGAGAGGATTCTAAGTGTTCTTGTCACATAGCTTTGGAAAGTGTTTAAGACAGAAATGCTAAATTCCATGAAGAGATCATTTGACGATGGACAGGTCACTATACTCCATAACGATGGACCATTTGTATGTGTTGATTAAAGACCAAAAGAAGCTGTAAAAAGAAAAAAGCACTTACCTAGATTTGTCATCTAATTTAGGAGCCTGAATTTCAGCTGGTGATTCCTGTACATCTGAAGAATATTCATGTTTTGGAGTAACTTCTAGAGACCAAATTTAAGAACAAAAAGTGTTCAGTGTCTTGACTATTTTAACATGTTATTTGGGTCTTACTTACAATAGAGAAGATATATCAGACCTTGTTGCATGTCACCCACTTTCAATTGTTCAGATGAATGATCATGTGCATTTCTTTGCTGCAAGAAAAAGAATGTAGTATTTTATACATTTTTTGAAAAATTTAACTGACACATAAAAATTGTGCATATTAATGTTGTCCCATGTACACATCATTAAATATTTAAATCTGATAAAGAATACCTGCTTAAACATTTAAACCTGTAAAAATATTCAAAAATCCTCTCTCTTAAATGAGATGTCATCCTACAGTCATCCTACTGTGACTATCACAGCAGAATGCTCCCTCTTAGCTAGCTCTTAGTCCCTGTTTTAAATCCCATGAAAGCCTTCCTGTGACCTAGCTGTTCCCTCTCTGGTATGACGTGATGCCCCAAGAGTAGTGATATTAATTAATTTGTCCAAGTTCCCACAGGGCCTAAGTGGAAGCACATCTGATGCCTAATACTAGGCTCCTTTCCCAACATCAATCTCCAGATCTTGCAGCAGCGAATGAGAAGGCAGAAGCCAACCAAGTCAGGCATTCCATGGAAGCCAAGTCGAACAAAGGGCAGAACACAAACTAAGTGGACAAAAGTAATCTGGAGGGGGATGGTTAAATTATTGACAGATTCCGGACTAGAAGCGGAGTCTACAAGTGAAGCCAGAATGCACCCACTGGGAAGGTGCAACCTCCTCCCCAGCTCACTCTACTCACAGGAGTTCCAGACTGAGCTTCCAACAGCAGAGTAGTCACACACTGGTTGTCTCCAGGGCTGACAGACTTGGCTTGTTCAGTGGATTCTTCTGCCTGTTCTATAAACATGAAGAAGGGCATTTATAACGTCAGTAGCCATGCACCACAGTGACACATCCTCCATTGCTCTGCACAGGACATGTGCTTCTGCTGCTTTGCATCTTTTGGTCAAAGCTGGTAGTCAGGTTCTGCCTTAAATCTCAAAGAAGACATCCAGGAGCTCTTAGGAAGGAACCCCAGAGAGATCGGCTCCACAGGTAGATAGGAGCTCCTGTCACCCCCAGCATTTGTTGTCATTTCCAGCTGGCCCCAAAGAGAGACTTTATTAGCTGGGGAAAATGACTCAAAGCTATTAATCGCTATCCCTCCACACACTGACTGTTTCTGTGGTGCTGGGGTGGATCCCAGGGCCTCACACACACAAGGCAAGGACCCGATCACTGAGCTGTACCCAGCTCTGTTCACAACTCTCAGAACCACAGATTTCCAGGGACCTCCAGAACCAGCAGGGTTTTATCAGGGCTTTTATGGAAAATGCAAAGACAAGGGTTTTGTTACCTCCCAATATACCTGGTTGTCTTCCAAGGTCACCAGGACTCTCACCGTCTTCTTTCTCAAACTTACTAAAGCGTTCTGGGGAGATTTTCACCTGAACAGGCAATACCTGAAATGCAAGCCAAATACCACATGACTTTCAAAAGGCATAGCTAGCCATCTGAGTGCCCTCCCTTGAAGGATTATTTTCCTGTTTCTGGCTTCCTTCCCTACCTCTTCCCTCAGCTCCAGCTCTGGCTATTGCCCTGCCCTTGACCCCTCTCTCCTGGTGTCTTCCTATCTGCCATGGCCTCAGTGTGCACCCAAAAGTCATGTGTTAGAAACATGATACCTAACACAGAGTGTGAACAGCTTCATTGATTCTTTTATTTCTTTCTTACTCATGAAATGGTCTTTTCAAAGGGTGTTTGGAAACTATTTTCAGAGTACTTCATATAAAACGCTATCATGTTCACTCAAATGAAAAATATGTTAGCTTGAGACTCTCACCCACAGGTCGCTGGCCTTTGTATTCAACTTCCAATCAGCCATTAATATTTCATCTCTTACATTTTTTTGCCTTACCTACTATTTATGTGAAGAGAAGGCTCTTGTGCTTATATATAAGCAGGAAGTATTAAAGTTAGAGGGGAACAATACCAATCTATAATACATGTAGATCTTTCCATAAGCTAAGACCAGCAGAGAGAATTTTGGGAAAACCCCCGGGGCATCCTCATGTCTCTTCATGAGAACGTAGGAATCTCCCAGAAGCCCGGTGACCACCCTCAGGACTCTGGGAAGAAGGTGCTGAGGAGGTGATGTTATCCTAGAAGAGCTTCCAGTCACTCACAAAAGTGGGACAAAGCTTCTGGAAGCTCAGTGAGGTTTTGCATCCCACATAGTTAAGACAGTGACACATGAAAAGGAAACTAGGGTTAGAGCCCAGAACTCTCAACTCTGTTTTTCAGAGGATGTTAAAGATCAAGTCTTTGTTTGTTTGAAAGAAAACTGAGGCCAAAGGAGCCCTCTCTTCTGATGGAAGAGGAAGAAAAGCAGGAAAGGAGGGAAGGAGAGAGGGAGGAAGGGAGAGGGAGAGAGGGAGGAAGGGAGAGGGAGAGAGGGCCCCAACAGCTGCAGCCTGTCTACTTATGCACTGGGGACACTGAATGTCACACCAAACCCCTTGGCCCCCAATGGCTTATCCACGTGGCTTTCCTTCCACACCCAGTGTCCTTGCAACTGGAGCTTATTTGTGCAACTTGCCTCAGGTACTTAAAGATCAGGTCTTTCGCCTGACCAAATGCTCACACCAAAACCCAATAGGGAAATGCAAAAGCTGTGAAGCACACTACTACATCTTCAAATAAAAGTGAAGCTGCGGGGGCTGGGGAAGATGGCTCAGTGGAGTAAGTGCTTCCCTAGCAAGCACAAGGGTCTGAGTTCAATCCCCGGTTCCACCAAAAAAAAAAAAGAGTGAAGCTGCCACCTGTTTGTCTTCTCCTAAAGCTTGAACAGAGGCGTGGGAGATGTGGACCTGCACACCAAAGTGGATCTCTATTTTCGTCGCTTCTTTTTTATTGATAACAACAGGCTCCTTCAGGTGAATGACAAATATCTTGACCTCCTCATTTTCTAACAAAAATATAGTACATAATGCATATCAACAGGCTGAAAAATCTAATTTAAATTTATTTTAAATAACTGTACCTGGAAATCTGTCAAGTGGTCAACTTTTCTTTGATAAGTTGAAAAGAAATTGCATTAAATAAAATTACTCTGAAATTACTGTATTAGGTGGTGAAACTTTCAACAATAGGAAACAGCTTCCTTTACCAGCAAAGAAATGGAGATGTTCGTCCTCGGCAACTCAATCTTTAACAGTGTTTTGCTTACACAACAGGTATTCTGCTTCCAAATAGACTGTGCACAATATTTATTCTTCTTTCTTGGAAATCCACTTATTTCTAGAGTTCAGTGTGCTAAAGGGAACATCCTTCTCCATTTCAACAGATTTCTCCAAGAAGACATGGCGGCACTGTGGTGAGACATCTACCTCAGACCAAAGTACGCGGCGGGGCCTCCACCCCATGACAAATGGTAATTTTATTTTTTAAAGAGAATTTAAAAAATAGATAAAACATTAGAAATGATAGGATTTCCGAAAAAATAAGATGACAGGAATTCAACGACGGTTGTCACACTGCACATCGTTGTCTTCAAAGTAGTTGCTCAGATTACCAAACATTAGCATGTAAAATGGGTCAAAATAAATTTTGAGTATTAACTGCACCCTTACAAAAACAACAGGGCTGTGGAGATGGCTCAATAGAATAAGTGCTTCCCTGGCAAGCACAAGGGCCTGAGTTCAATCCCCAGTTCCGCCAAGAAAATGAAAATAAATAAATATAAATAAATAAATAACCTGAAACAACAGAAATTAGCAGCACAATCACTGTAGCTACCCTATGTATGCGCATCCATGGTCTTTCCCGTCCTTGCTTCCTCCTTGCCCTCATCCCATTGTTCTTTCCTTTTGCACAGTTTCTTGCCCTTTCCCAGTGTCCGTTGTACCTCTCAGATCTTACTTTTTCAGGTTCCCACACTAGGGAGACAGTACAATGTTCACACACGTGAGTCTGACTTGTTTCACTTATGAGTGTGATTGCTAGTCGCATCCATTTACCTATAAAAGCCTCGAGTTTTTCTTTCTTTATAGCTGAGTAATACTCCATTGTGTAAAAATACCACGTTTGTGGGTATTCGAGTTGTTGCCAAGATTTAGCTATAACAGATTGTGCGGCTATAAACATGGGTGCACATATATCACTGTGGTGTGGTGGGAATTAATTTTAAAAGAAAAATTAGCTTTGACTAAAACTCACTGAGTTCAAGAATAAGTTATAAAGTCAGTTGGAAGCAGCAAAAGCTAGAAGAGACTAAGGGGGCGCAGGCTGGGATTTCAGGAGCAGAAGCACGCACCACGGGAACTCGGCTGCCATCGCTACTGCTCTGAGGGACAGGGTGGACACGCACTAAAACCATTTTTTAAATTGTGGCCACAAAAAAAAAAAATCTATGTTAAATATACCTTTGTAATTTTTGTATATTAAGTTTAATTTTAGGGCTTGGGAAATAGCTCAGTGGTCTAAGTGCCTCCCGGGCAAGCACAAGGACCCGGGTTCAAGCCCTGGTACCACACGCAGTGCAAGCCCCATGTGTCATGCCAGCCACTGAAACTGGGCATGGTGGCACATGCCTGTAATCCCAGAGCTTGGGAGGCTGAGACAGGCAGAGCACTATGAGACTGAGCTGTGTAGTGAGACCCTATATCAAATTAATAAAAGATTTTTTAATGTTTTTTAAAAATTTAATTTTAACTGATATATGAAAGCAATCAGTGTTGCATTAAGTATGTTCATAATGCACTGCAGACCTCCAGAATAATTTCATCTTGCAAGAAAACAACTCTGCCTCTTGAACAACTCCTTGTCTCCCTCCCGTGACCCCCACCAACCACCATGCATTTCACTTTCCATTTCTGGTCTGTGGACCACTGGGGACACCATGTGGAATCATAATGTGTGTGTGTGCATGTGTCTGTGTGTCTGTGTGTCTGTGTGTCTTTTGGGGCACGATGTTCTCAGGGTTCATCCAGGTTGTAGTGTATGTCAGACTTTCCTTCCTTTTCAAGCTGAAAATATATGAGACAGATAGACAGAAAGACAGCAGACAGGCCAACCAATCAAGCAACACCACCAAAAAATCCATGCACGTCAGGAAAAGAAAAATAATACATTTTTTTTTTCAACAAATGATGTTACCCTCAGATGAGGGACCCTAGAAGATGATGTCTATCACAGAAAACCCACTACTATGCCACCCCCTAGGGAAAAAATTGGAATTGTATATACAACAATCTTAATGACCAAGGTCACTCAAGTAGAAGTTTGCTGTTCTAATAAATGTCTGGAAGCTGACAGCCACTGGTGTGAGCACCCCTTGCAAGTGTAGAAGCCAAAGGTAACTTGCATTAATCTCACGATGTCTCAATACACTTCGTATTAAAATATTTATACAAGTTTCTCTTTTCCAGAAACATGTGTACATTTTTGATAGACTCTGTATATATCTCACATTTTATTTACCCATTTATTCTTCAGTAGGCATTAGAGTTATTTCCAACTATTCTGAATAAAGTTGTGAATAAAGTTTACAGAGATCTCTTAGGGATCCTCTTTTCAGTTCTCCTGCGCACATACTTAGAAGTGAAATTGCTGGCTCATGTAGCAATTCTGTCTTTTTTTCATTTTTAAGTAATGTTAGAAACTGAATCCAAATCCTTCTCATGAGCAACACCCATGGCCCTTCTGATTTATTTTGGAGCAGGGCCTCACCAAGTCACCCAGGCTGGGCTTGAATTTGTGATCCTCCTGCCTCTGCCTGCCAGAGTCCTAGGATTACAGCCACCCACCTATACACCAGGCTGGCTTTTAATTATTTGAAGATCTTAACCATATTTACAACACAGAGGTTGGAAAAGTAATTAAACTCTGAAGTCACAGATAAAAGGATCCACCAACACTGTGACCCCAGATCTTGGTCCTGTGCACAATGTGTCTTCCTCCTGCTGTCCTACCCAGCCTTCCTTCTAGCAAAGAAAACTGAAATCTCTTCTAGAATTAACTACACAGAGAGCAAACACAAACAGCAATAATACTCAGGACTAAATGTTGGGTACAGTGCTTTAAAATTATCATCTTACCTGTAATGCTGAAGTTAATGATGGCTTCTTTTCTAAGTCGTACTGGTTCCCATAGAGCACTCTTGGGTAAGAAGTAAAATCCATGAGCACATAACACATATTTACAAATGTACATTCTGTAAGGGTTTAGATCTAATCAGGAAGTAAACTCCATTCATTACCTCAGTATTGTCTATATAAAAAGTCACACTCTGACTTCCTAGGTTGAAATCAATCCAAAATTTCTCTAATTTTTCATCTGCTGGTTTTCTCATCTGAAAGAAGATTTCAGTATGAATCATACACAGAAGAATCACATCAGAGTCAGATAAAAATGATTCATAAAGGATAGAACTTGTGCTTTTCCTGAAATCGCATTATCCTAACAACACAGGGCCTCTCTGTGACCTGTCTCACTTTGAAAAAACAGATCTTAATTTCACAGGATCAAGCCATTTCCAATAAAATCCTGCTGTCCTGGGCATCTTTTATAGATACTCAAATAGGACACATGTTTGTTTTCTGGTAAGAATCAAAAAGCTAATTTGTACTCTGTTGAAAACTCCAGACTACATAAATAAGGAAACTTCTAGAAAAGTAGATTTGAGGATCAACTATAAAAGATGACTTGTCATCTAACTTACCATTCATTACAGCACAGCTATGTCTTCCAGAGTTAAGAGTACTTTTTATTGATTACTATAAATATATTTTATAAAAGGCTGAAACAATGTGACATTTGTAGAAATGTAATCATCTCCTCCCCTGCCTCACCTATATTACAAATATGTATCTTTCCATAGGTACACTAATAGTGTCTTAGTCCCCAGCCCCTGAGGTTTTTCTAGACAAATATCAGGAGCTTAATTGAGGGCTAGGAATATAGCTTTGTAGCACAGTGCATGCCTGGTAGGTGTGAGGTTGTGAGTTCAATTCCCAGTATTAAAAGAAAAAAACTATACCTAGCAGCATAATTGAGTATCCCTTATGGAAAATGGTTAGTACCAAAAGCATATCATGCTTTTAATTTTTCAGATTTTTAGAGTATTTGTGCATCTATACCATAAACTATCTTAGGCATGGGACTTAAGTCTAAACACAAAATAATTTACATTTCCTAGATATCTTTAGATGTAATTTGAAGGTATTTCAGATTTTTGGTCTAGGGACAGTCAATTTTTAAGTTTCCACAACAGTGAAGCAAGCAGTAGATCTACTACTCTACAACCTGTTTTTCCAATAAACAGCCTTGCGTGGACATCTTTCCTTTTCATCATTCATGCTTGCTTTGTAATACCTACAGAGTTGAATGAAGGATCTCAACGATGTGTGAAGGGTAGGTTAAAGGACCCTGGTAAAACCTGTGGGGAACTGGGAAGTCCTAGAAAGGAGAACCAAGCAGAAAACCAGAGGAAAATCAGGTGGAATTGAGACAGAAAGATTAGTCTACTGGAACCAGCTCTAAAGAGAAAGGTCTTATGTTGTAGCCTTGGGTTGAGGGCTCAGCTCACAGACGCTAACAAGGGGACTCTGAAACACAAATGGCTAAATGCTAAACAAACTTGGATGTTGTGAAGACTGGGCTCAACAAAGTTCAGCTGAGGTCTGATTCCTCCACAGACTTTACCCTGAAACCAAGATACTCTAGGTTGGAAATTCTTGACATGAAAGGCCTTCTTTGTCCGAAAACCAGGGAAGGAAGTGAAAAATGAATTGGTCAACCTGGATTAAAGGCACTAGATAGGATTAAAGAGAGCATATACTTGTACTGTAAGGCACCGTGCTGAAGGTGCTTCATCCGTGAGGTCAGCTTGTACGGATATGCACTGCATTATCCTATCCAAGGTAGAGGACAGGGAATGGCCTCAAGTGCTGGGAAGAGAGAGGGAATATCAAAGGAAGCACTAAATCAGCCTTCTCCTCAAAGGACAAGTAATGTTACCCATGAATAAGGTAAAATAAGGCAAGATTTCTGCAACTGGCCTCATATATACAGTATAGACCTTCAATTCCTTTTCCTAGGAGTAAAGTTGAATCTTTAAACTGGTAACACATCGTGGTTATGGCATGATTAAGAGATGTGATCACTAGGAGAAGCTAGCACCCTTTTTTTT